TTTATTTATTTATTTGACAGAGATCACAAGTAGGCAGAGAGGAAGGCAGAGAGAGAGGAGGAAGCAGGCTCCCTGCTGAGCAGAGAGCCCGATGCGGGGCTCGATCCCAGGACCCCGAGACCATGACCTGAGCTGAAGGCAGAGGCTTTAACCCACTGAGCCACCCAGGCGCCCCATAGCCTCACACTCTATTGAAATTAGTTTTTCAGTGTTTCTTCCAATTACATAAATTCCTTGAAAGCAGAATTTTCTATTTTCTTTTTTTAAAGATTTTATTTATTTATTTGACAGAGAGAGAGATCACAAGTAGGCAGAGAGGCAGGCAGAGAGAGAGGGGGAAGCAGGCTCCCTGCTGAGCAGAGAGCCCGATGCGGGGCTCGATCCCAGGACCCTGAGATCATGACCTGAGCCGAAGGCAGAGGCTTTAACCCACTGAGCCACCCAGGCACCCCAGAATTTTCTATTTTCTAACTCCTATCTGTATCACAGGTCCTTAACACATATCTGTAGAATGTCTAGAACCTGAACTCTTAAATCCTGGTCCAAGAAATGCAACAGAGTAGAAAGAGTAGAATTTAGAATCAGACAAATTCAAATTCAAATATCAGATTCTTCATTAATAAGCTAGGTAGCCTTAGACAAATTTATCTTTAAGAGCCTCAGGTTTCTTATGGGCACAAAGTATTTATTTTGCTGGAATGCTATTAACAATAACATGAGAAACTGTGTGTAAGTCACTTGGTATAGTATTTGACCTAAAGATGGTGCTCAAATAATGTTCAGTATTACCATTATTATTATTTTCAACAGCAGGCAAATATAATCATATGTATGCCATTCATACATACATACATGTAGACTGGTATACTGTAGAAAGTTGAAAACCAGTCTGATGTAACTCTTTTCCCTACTCACGCTACCTTTTTTTTTTTTTGAGGGGGAGCACATATCACATTATCTCACATTATTTTATTTTTCTTTTTTATTATTTATATTACATTATAATGTAAACCGTAAAAATCAGAATTTCTTCTTTCTATTAACATCAGTGGTTAAAATCGTGTCTCAAAGTAGGCATTCAGTAATTATATACTGAATATATAAGTGTACACTTTTCAAAATCCGTAATTTCATGTTTTTAAGTAGTGAACTTGGAGGTGGATAGACACCGTCATCTCAAGTCATTCAATATTGGCATGCAGAAAGCTTGTCTATAATGCTACTTCAGGAAGCCTTCTCTGAAACAGCCCAAGTCTGGGCTAGGTGTCTCTCAGGACTGCTTAGCATCCATCCAGTGCTTCTCCCTACAGTCCTTATTATACTGTAATCAAGTTTATTTCCTATTGAACTGCCTCTTGTTTAAAATAAACAAAAATGTCATCTATTTGAATACTTTTCTACCTAGTTCACAATTTCATTTTTCAAAACCAAAATAAAGAACTGGGAAATGAGTTATTACAGCTCAGTAGCCTAAAGGTCATATTATGCAAGGGGCACGCTGTGGTCATCAACAACAGGTCCCTCTAGTTTATGAGGCATTGTCTGAGGCTTCCAGGAGACTATAGGAGAAATAGTCCAGAGGGTCAGGATGGTCTGGTAGGACTATGGACTAGCTCTACTTGGAAGGTCTCATCCCACCCCCAACCCCAGAATGACACCATAATGCAAACCTCTCTGACATAATCAGTGTCCTAATGTCTCCTAGCAGTGTCCATGGTAGTAACATTGTCTTCAATGTAAAAATGTACCTATTTGCAGTCACTACTTCTAACTCTACCGCCAGGAGAGCTTGAGCTGAGAGGAAACTACGGTTCTCATTACTCAGACCCAGAACACCCCTTCCCTACAATCTGCTAAAACATGGTGGATTACTATGAAGTTCTAGGAGTGCAGAGATATGCTTCACCTGAGGACATTAAAAAGGCTTATCGTAAAGTGGCACTCAAATGGCACCCCGATAAAAATCCAGAAAATAAAGAAGAAGCTGAGAGAAAATTCAAAGAAGTAGCTGAGGCATATGCGGTATTATCAAATAATGAAAAAAGGGACATTTATGATAAATATGGCCAAGAAGGATTAAATGGCAGAGGCAGAAGTCACTTTGATGATTCTTTTGACTATGGCTTCACATTCAGTAAGGCAGATGATGTCTTTAGAGAAATTTTTGGTGAAAGGGAACCATTTTCATTTCATTTCTTTGAAGACTCATTTGAGGACCTTTTAAATAGTCCAAGAAGCTCCTGTGGAAGCAAAGGTACAAGATCCTTTTTTGCAACCTCAAGTCAATATCCAGTTTTTGAGAGATTTTCTTCATATGATACAGGATATACACCATATGGTTCACTGGGCCACAAGGGCCTTAATTCATTCTCCTCCCTGACATTCGATGAAAGTGGGATAAGCAACTACATATCTGTTACAGCTTCAGATAAGATTGGTAATAGAAATACAAACACACAGAGAATTATTGAGAACGATCAAGAAATAGAAGTTGATAGCGAGTTGAAGTCCTTCCTTACAAATGGTGTGGAAGATGAAGAGGGCTTTGCAGAAGAATGCAGTTGGAGAATAAAGTCATTTAACAATTATTCACCAAAGTCCCATAGCCCCAAACATGTAACTCGATATACTTTTGTGGATAATGATGAGGAAGATGTATATTGGGTCACCAGCAACTGGAATCCCTCTATGTTCTCAGCAGGATTCAAAGAAGGTGGTAAGAGAAAAAAAAAAAAGCATAAAGCCGTGCAAAAGAAGTCAACTAAAAACAATCGTTAAATTGACTCTACAGACACATTATGTTCATACAACAATTGAACACGACTGTGTGTGTTTTGGTTAATCAGTTTTGTACGTAACATTTAATACTATATTAAGATTATGTTTTTAACATGTTTAGCAGCATTGTGAACATTTGATCAAAGGCTGTTTGGATTAGGTATGTTAGAAAAAGATGAGTTTGTGGTAACAGTGATAAAAAGAATTCAGAAAACAGGCAAATACCATTTTACTTTTCTTTGAGCTAAACATTTACAAATCACAGAGTCTTTTTCAGCAGAGTTTACAGGCCCATTCTTTTCATCTATGAAACTACTATGCAAACTTCCGAAATATGTATAGCACTTGGAGCTAAAAATTTATTAAGATACACAGGTTCAGACCATAAAGTTATTCATGAAATGAATTTTCTCCAATAGAGACACAGCATTTGACACATAACTTAAATATATTATAAATAAAAATTAAAGTATAAAATATTTTAAGTTAAAAATAGCCAGAATTATATTTGTACCCCCATGTTTACAGAAATTATTCACAATAGCAAAGAGGTGGAAGCAACCTAAATACCAATTAATGGATGAATAAACATACATATGGTGAAATACTATTCAACCTTAAAAAGGAAATCCTGTTACATGCTACATGGGTTACATGTTACATGGGTAAAATTTGAAATATTATGGTAAATGAAATAAGCCAGTCATAAAGACAAATCCTTATGATTCTACTTACATGAGGTAAGAAATTCATAAAAACAAAGTAGAATCGTAGTTATCAGGACAAGGGAGGGAGAAGTGTTGTTAACAGTTCTAGTTTCAGATTTCAAGATGACAAAGTTCTAGAAATCAGTTTCACAATGTATATTTAAAAAATGATTAACATGGTAAATTCTATGTTATGTGTATTTTTCCACAATTAAAAAAAATACTATACTTATCCTGGATTTCTCAAAGCAATGAGGCTATTTCATGTATGCTGGGCCTACAGTGAAACGCTCCAGACAGGAAGATTTCTGTTTTCTTTTTTACTATATACTATGTACACAGGCTCTACAGAGACATTACTCTAAAACACCAACTTTAGCCACTATAATTTCAGGTTATAATGGAAGAAAAATTAGTTACTGAAGTATCAGACTTTGAGCAAGTGGTCTTAGCTAAATGTCTGCAGACATTTGTTTATTTTAAATGAACTTAGCTTAATTTCAATACAATTACTTTTTTTTTAAAGATTTTATTTATTTATTTGACAGAGATCACAAGTAGGCAGAGAGGTAGGCAGAGAAAGAGAGGGGGAAGCAGGCTTCTTGCTGAGCAGAGAGCCCGATGCGGGGCTCGATCCCAGGATTCTGGGATCATGACCTGAGTGGAAGGCAGAGGCTTAGCCCTCTGAGCCACCCAGGTGCCCCTCAATACAATTACTTTTTAGCTTCCTCTAATTATTTTATTTTCAAAATATATTGCTATTATTTTCAAAATATATGATTTTTATTCATTCTTTCATTCATTCAATGGTGTTTTTTGAGTACCTACTATTTGTCAGTACTTGGGACATAGTAATGAATGAAACACCCAAAACATTAGCTGTCACAGAGCTTACAAACTGGGCAAAGACAATAAGCAAATATTAAGTAAAATATGATGTTAGTCACAGGTGCTAAAGAAAACAAAATAAAAGGTTACAGAAGTTCTGGAATACAAGGGTTGAAACTGTAGTTAAGATAGGCACAGAAAAATGATGGTTAACATCTGAGTAAAGATGTAAAGAAAGTAAAGGAGTTAACCATGGGCATATGAGGTCAAAGAGAATTCCAAAAGGAACAGCAAGTGAAATGTCTCTAAGGCTAGATGTGTAAGGTGTGTTTGACGCTCCTTACTGTGATCACTGTGAACAATTAAGAGAACAAGATGATGAAGTTAGAAAGGTAACAGGAGGTCAGATTATGCAGGGACTGCTAGATCACAGTTTGGACTCTGTTATGGGTTTGACTGGAAGCCACTGGAGGCTCTACACAGAAGAGTGACTGATATCTGATACATTTAAACAGGCCCACTCCAGGGCACCTGGGTGGCTCAGTTGGTTGGGCAACTGCCTTCGGCTCAGGTCATGATCCCGGACTTCCAGGATCGAGTCCCGCATCGGGCTCCCAGCTCCTTGGGGAGTCTGCTTCTCCCTCTGACCTTCTCCTCTCTCATGCTCTCTCTCACTCATTCTCTCTCAAATTAATAAATAAAATCTTTAAAAAATAAAAATAGGCCCACTCTGGCTGTTGTGGTTTTATTGTTGTTTTTTAATGATTCATTTATTTTAGCAGGGGGAGGGGTAGAGGGAGTCGGAGACTCTCAAGCTGACTCCCCACTGAGTGCAGAGTCAGACACAGGGCTCATGAGCTGAGCCAAGATCAAGAATTGGACACTCAACCCACTGAGCCACCCAGGCACCCCTGGCTGTCGTCATTAAGAAAAGACTCAAAGTAAGCAGATGTAGAAGCAGGGAAATCAGGCTACTGCTAGAATCCAGTACTAGTCCAGTAGAATACTGTAATAGTTTGGTCCAGGATGGTGGGGGCAGGGGTGGTGGTGATCAAATTCTGGATATAGTCTAAAGGGCCAAGCAGAATTTACTGATAGGCTGAATACTGGGCATGACAGGAGTCAAAGTTTTTGGCTTTAGTAACTGAGAGAAGAGATTTGCCATTACCTGAGATAGGACTGCAGGTGTTAAGTTTTGGGTGGGCTACGTTTGAGATGCCTGAATTTATTAACCGAAAACAATTTCTTGGATTGACTTGCATCCTATACATTCCTATTTTTTAGCGATCTACTGATCAAATTTTAATAATCTTTCATCTCTTAGAACTGTAATGACTGCAAATTTTAATGTGACTGAAAGACGTAAGCAAATAATCTAGCAAAACTAAAACCCAATCACCTTTGGCAAAATACAGTTCAGTGGCATACAGCAATATAACAAATCTAGAAACCACAAAAGATTATAACATCTACTCTTTAAAAGACTGCTATAGTAAAATGTGAGCTATCGCTTAATTTTGTTTGATTTCTAGTTGGTAGGTGGAGAGGAAATTCTATAGGAGGGACTGGGAACGATTTGCATTAACTTATTTTGAGGGGGCACCTAGGTGGCTCAGTCAGTTAAGCATCTGCCTTGACTCAGGTCATAATCTCAGGGTCCTGGGACCAAGCCCCACGTAGGGCTCCCTGCTCAGTGGGGAGTCTCCTTCTCCTTCTCCCTCTGCCCCTCCCCCTGCTCAAGTTCTCTCTCTCTCACATAAATGAAAATCTTACAAAGTAAAGAGTGAACAAAACTTATTTTTAGAAAATACAGTCATAAAAGCTTGAAGTATTATAAATGCTACTTTTATAAAATGTGTTACTTAGTAAAGTTTATCAGACATGTATCTGGGACTATTACGAGCTGCAAAAAAAAAACCACAATTTTCCAACAACAAAACCAAAAACCAGTGTCTGAAAATTTAAAAATGCAACAACAACATGCCCTCTAGTCCATTTTCCACTTTTTTTTTTTAAAGACTTTATTTATTTATTTGACAGAGAGAGATCACAAGTAGGCAGAGGGCAGGCAGAGAGAAAGGAAGGGAAGCAGGCTCCCTGCTGAGCAGAGAGCCTGACATGGGACTCGATCCCAGGACCCTGAGATCATGACCCGAGCCGAAGGCAGCAGCCTAACCCACTGAGCCACCCAGGTGCCCCCATTTTCCACTCTTAACAGATAACTAAAAATTCAGATTTAATCTTACTCAATAGATTACAATCATCCAATGGTTTCCCACTACCTAGAGGAATGGGAATATACAAGACCTTTAATGAGCCAGCTACCAGCTGGCTTTTCTTCCTAACTTGGTTTTTTAATCACTTCTTCCTACACCTTACGTTGAGCCCAAAATTTTCCAAAGGGTGTTCCAAGGGTTACCAGTTCAAGACTCACTACAGAAAAAGGGCCCCATGGTCAAATACTGTTTGCAAATTACTGCCAAATACCTTTCTTTCTTGGGAGACATAGAATTAGCCTAGTATGGGCATGATGAAATGCAGCACTCCCCAAACTTATCGGACCACAGATCCATTTTGGTGTAGTAATACCTACTACCTACCTAAGAACATATTTCAAAAAGGCTCTTCCAGGCTTACTGATGATTGAGAAGCTTTATTCCGTGCCTTTGCATATGCTCCCTCTGGCAGGATGGCTCAATTACTCCATAGTCTGCTTGATAAAAGCCTTTTTCAAGTCTCAAGGTCTCCTAATGTTTAAGGGCACATGCACATTTCCCCTTGGCCCCCTCCCTGCTGCCAGGAAACATCTATTACTTTTTCTTTCTCCCTACCACTGCCACTAAATTTAGTATGTTATATTACAATTACTTGCTTTTTTGCCTCCCATGATGGTAGAAACTATGCTCCATCCTCACATGTGGTGTTTAACGTTTACTGAATGAATTAACTGCAAACAGGCTTTAAAAAAATTATTCTTTAGTCAATGTTTTCACTTTAGGATTGCATGACTTTCACAGATGAGAAACCTTCCTATTGTACTCAATATTCTGCACTGCAGAGTTTTTCTAAAGAACAGCAACCAAGAGCACCACAGGCATGCAAAGCTCTATTTATGAGCATCTCAAGACAGTAGAATTTTCAAATTCTGAAACTTAGTAAAATCCCCAAATGACATTTTTAAAGACCCATCATCACTGCCTTTCTTGAGCCCCCATGCCACTTGAGTCAAGACTCTGTTAGACTCTATTGCTATACTGTCATTTATCTATTGCTTGTCTATCATCCTGACAAGACAGCAACTCCAGGGAAGTGGAGATTCATCCAAAATGACTATTAAAAAGTTATTTAATGAAGAGAACATTCTTTTTGGCTCAATAAAAAGTTCCGAAAGGACTCTACTAAGCCAAAGTTAAGACCTATTGGTGGTATTACAGAAAAAGAACTAGACAGCAATTATACAACTAAAACTACTGACTTGCAACTTGTGATCCTATGTTGGTTTCAGTTCAATAAAATGAGGATAACTGCCGAACTTATTAATCTACTTGTGAAGATCCAAGCAGATCATCTATTCAACACTCCTATATATATATACTGAGTGTTAATGTTAGAAAGTGGTTTAATTTACTTATTGCCTTAAGGCAAAATGAACCATAATGAATATATTTTTCAAAGATGTTGACATGTATAATCCAGTATCTAGTGTTAAACTTTCATGGGCACCTGTGTGGCTCAGATTATGATCCCAGGGTCCTGGGACTGAGCCCCACATCTGGCTCCCTGCTCAGCGGGGAGCCTGCTTCTCCCTCTCCCACTGTTGCTCCCCCTGCTTGTGAGCGCTTTCTCAAATAAATAAAATCCTAAAAAAAAAAACAAAAAACCAAACCTCTCATTAATAAAGTTTTACACAAAGTCTCAATTAAAAAAAAAAAAAGTCACAAGCAAAAGATGGTACCAGCTCTAAACCATAGGTTGTGGCTTATGTGATTAACACAAGCTACGTATCTATTTACCTAATCCTATGGAGGACAGCTTTCTGCCACTTAACTATAAGAACCAAAGAGCAAATTCTGTGCACTGGACAGTGATTATTTTTTACAGGAAAAACAAATCTTGTAATTACCATCCCACTTTCATTAAAGCAGATCAATGTGAGAAATACACGCCAAGACACAGATTTGATGTCAAATACCATATGCTCTGGTTTACACATTGGTCACCTATTGGCCAAAAACCTGAAATATGATCCAATGGCCGGTCCGCCCGCAAAGGAGTTGACTCAGGTTTCACTGATCGAGGTTTATGTTCACCAGATTAACTGTTCGCGAGAGTACACCCTAAAAGAACGGCCCCCATTATTCCTGGACTCCTTCATCTTGCCTTTACGAACGGGGCTTCAGACATTAAAAAGCCCCGGGAGTATTTCCAAGCATTATCTCTCCCGAGAGGAAATGCTAAAGGGATTTGTGTTACTAAACATGTTTCTTGTACATGCTGGAGCCAGCTCTCAAGTCAACTCTTTGAAAACACGAAAAAAGCATTTCAAGGTAACCTAACAAAAACAAAAGCTACTTGACGTGAGACACTTTATCTACGCAAGTGAAAACTGACACAACTTCTAGGAGTCCAAGTAACTTTGAAGACAGCCCCTCTGGGGGATGGCACACACTTTTCTCTCTGCAGTCATTCCGGCTTCCCAGAATACCTCACGGTAGGGAGAACACAGGGCCCACCCTTTTCCAGAAGCAGCAGGTAAAGAAGAAATCCAAGGAGCGTACAAAGGGTTTGGAAGTGGAGGCCCCAGCCGGGGAAGGGTCAGCCGAAAAAGGGATCGCCTGAGACCAACTTGAATCCCTCTAGGGCGCCTCAAGTTTCTCAGAGAGCAAGCCCCGGAGTGGACACCGTGGGAGATGAGTCTAACCTGAGAGGCAGCGGGAGCTTGCTACGGCGGGAACCAGCTTAGTTGCTGAGAGTAACCAAAGCATGACGTCCTCGCTCACGCGGCAGGAAGGAAAAGAGGAAAACAGCCAGAGAAGCGGCCGTCCACAGAATTGCGTCGCCAGGAAACCAAGCCAAGCGCCCCTCCCCTTCCGGCCAGCGGCGCTCGCCGGGCTTTCCTTCCACGCGGCGCTGAATGCTGACGTCACGCCCAGGGCTGTGACGGACGCTCCTGCCGGAGGGCCTGTTTGCTGTCCTGTCGTCGCGCTCCACTTAATTCCCACACGCACAAAACGTCCGATTCTAAAATGATTCCCTGCAGGGGCTGATATTTCCCGTGTCCTTGAAAGCACCAAGTGGGGGGATTGATTCAGAGAACTCGCTCAGATTTAAAATATAAGAAAGCATGCGTAAGGAGGCAGGCAACAGCGTGAACAGTCACACTTCTAGAAGGTTCTAGGAAATGCGCAGGGGCAGAGGCGGAGGGAGTAGGAATGGACGGGCGAAGGACCCGGGGTCACGAGACCGTTGGGTAGGCGGAGCCAGCGCCGGGGAGGTTCTAGTCTGTTCTGCCTCGCGGCAGCCGCCCCCTTCCACACGATCACGCTGAGTTAGTACCCGCGCCTGGAATCGGGTCGCAACCTCAGCCGCGCCTGTCGCCTGCCACTGCCTCCGCACCATGGACCCTCGCAAAGTGAGCGAGCTTCGGGCTTTCGTGAAAATGTGTAAGCAGGATCCGAGCGTTTTGCACACCGAGGAAATGCGTTTCCTGCGGGAGTGGGTGGAGAGGTGAGACCTGGGCGGAGGACCGTTGGGGGTGGGAGGAGGGACGGCTGGAGGTGGGAGCTGGGCCGGAGCCTACGTGGGGTGGACGGGCGGGGAGCTCCGCCGGGAGGGCCTGCCGAGTCGCCGCCTGTTTGTGGTTCTCCCTGGCCAGGAACCGGCGGCGACTTCGGGGGCTAATGGAGGATTGGAAAGCTTATATAGTACAGAGGTGGGAAGGAGGAGGCACAGCTGGGTTCCCTCACCCTGAGGTCGTCAGGGGTGTGTCTTGGGCAAAATAGAAATGCAGAGGATTGCATGGGCTTGAGTCCTGTAGACGTGGTGGGGGTGGGGAGCTGCAAGATTTCGTTTTCGCGTGGAGTTGTTTTTCTTGAAATATCGTGTCCTGCTTAGGTCGCAATGACACACAGCGCTTTTACGCATTACGTCTTTAAATAGTGTTTTAATAATAATTTGCTATACGAGTTCTAATAAAATGGTAATTATTAGATTAACTTTGAATTTACAGCCGTCCTTACTGCGTAGAATTATTTTGGGAATCATTTATTGGTACCTCGGTAGTAACGGTGCCATTACACTAAACACTTGAAGAAAAATGATTTTTCAAGGACCAGCATGTTACCATGATTTGTTCTTGTTGTCCTTAAATCTAGAGTACCTGGCTACGTGCACGGAATTAATTGTATAGGCATTGTGCCAGGTGCTAGGAAACCGTATAAGTGCAGTTTATTTAGTGAGACAGGTGAATAAATACAGAAATTTGTTTTGATATTTACTGTATGATAGAGACTAATATTTTTCATATTCGGAGAGAATTTAAGAGAGAAAGGGAAATCTTCCCCGAGACGGTTTTTTTTAAAAAACATCACTACTAGTAAGGAATTTAAATGACAACAAATCGCACCTCGTGGTGCTAATAACGACAATGCAAAGCAATGTGACTCTTTAGAGGTACTACCGGAAACAGCGATCTTTTTATTTTAGTGATATTTTTATAGGGGAAGGTGAACCCCTGATGACCAGATAATTTCAAGAATATTTCTTTCAACAAACTCTTCTAAGGAAGGAACTTAAGTTACAATCTGTCAACGTTGTATGTCGTGGTGTTTTTTTCCTCTAAGAAGTTTCTCAATTTTTTTCCTCCACTAGTTTTCTAACTATGGTAAGATTTTGCGTATGTTATAAATGTTAAATTCTGTGATCACTTAAAATTACTGCAGTACCTTAAAAACTGTTTCTGGTAGTTAACAAGAATACCGTTTTTGTAACAGGAAAACCTACAAGATGCTAATTTCAGGACTAGGAGGTTAGGCCTGGATTTCAGTCGGTTTTTTCCTCGAATAACTTGATAATCCAAATGCATCACTTTAGATATTTGTATGTTTTTAATCTTTTTTATCCATCATAGGAAAGAGCCTACAAGTACGTTGTTTATAATATTCCAGGTAAAGCTGGGTGTGTATACCACCGGAAGAAATGGTTGATGCCAAGACTCAACATTATAATGAGTATATACAATGTTTTGTTCCACTGCTCGGGAGGAAAAAGGGAGCTATGAAGAAAAAGCTGAAACAAATCTAAGAACATTGTAACTTGGGCTGGAGTGATTATGGCTATCTAGAGAATTCCAGTTTAAGGCTTGGAAAATATTGTCAACGTTATTTCTGGAAAATACTTATGTATCTTTTTTTTTTTTTTTTTTTGGGACAGTTCACGTATGTGGGGCGCCAGGGTGGTCAGCCGCCTACCGCTCAGGTCCTGATCCCAGAGTACTGGGATCAAGCCCAGCGTCCAGCTCCCTGCTCAGTGGGAAGCCTGCTTTTCCCACTGCCCCTGCCTGTGTTCCCTCTCTCGCTGTGTCTCTATCAAATAAATAATAAAATCTTTAAAAATTTTCACATAGGTAATCCTTTTTTTTTTTTTGTTCTTTTTTTAGTCATCCATGTATGTTTCCCTTGTGGCGTCCTAAATTTTTGGTTTAAGTATGGGATGAAGCATGTTGGCATGTGTAGGGGCCCTATTCTGAAGCTTTCGTTGTCTCTTTAAAATTTTTGTGTCTTTGAGGCTTTTGCTTGAAGTACATCAGTTTCTCTCTGCCTTCATGTCAGCCCTCTTAAGTGCAGGATTATAGGAGGTTGGACTGAACGTGGAGACTTCTGTGTCCAGGAACGTTCCAAGGCCTAATCTTACTATAAAGGCTCCTAAAGTTGAAACCGTATCAGAGTTCTTTGTTCATACTATATTAGTTGTAGGTACCCAGGTTCAGACATTGAAGAACAGTTCGTTTATTTGTGTATTTACCAGAATTTTTACCACTGTTTATAGTTTAAAATTTTATTTGATGTTAAGAATTTAACAAATGAAAAGAGAAAAAAAAAAAGGGAAGAAAAAGAATTTATTTAACAACATTGTTAATTGGACACAGAGAAATAAAGAATTTTTTTTGGCTCATTCTGTGAGGATCCAGGGAGATAATGATGTTTTCAGTGAGTATGTTTGGGGTATTTTTGGTTTTCTTTATAGGAAGAATTGTTTTTTGAGACTAGTATTTCATTTTATGGTGATTTAAGATTAGAGGGATTATCTTTGTGTTGTAATCTCCAGCACAGTGAATGGCGTATGGCTTTGCGGTAAATACTTTAAATGAAAGGAACAGGATGCACTTCTGTTTGCAATGAGTTGAGAACACAGCATCCAATTTTTTGTACAGGTGAATAATAACTATGACTCAAAGCATTTCGAATGTATCAAATTAAGAGAATTATGAATGAGGTCTCGTGTGAGTCCATATGAGAAAGGTCTCTGCACTAGCCCTACTTGGTGGCATAAAAGCCTATACTGGTAGAGTCCAGTTTGCAGTGATGGGGAGGGAATTAGCGTGTTTTAAATCTTGAAAGCATTAAATGAAAATTTTGTACCTATAAGTTGGTTTTAACCTTCCAGTAGTTAGATTTAGTAGTTAAGGTGAGAAACTCTAAATGTAGCTTATGAATAACCTTCTTGTGTTCTTTTTCTTCCCTATTTTAAAATTTTTTTTAAAAGTTGAAATTTGCAGGAAAATTGAAATACAGTGCAAACATTTTTCCTGCAACGATTTCTAGTGTTGTGCCCTCAGCACCATTGTGTATTTCCTACAATTCATGGATAGTCTCTCCAGTACAGCCACCAAACTCAGGAAACGAATGATGCATTAATGCTATCTAATTCTCAGAATTCCATGTTGCACTTTATTGTTGTGACTTCTAATCTCTATTCTGAAAGAATTCTTCAATCATTCATTGGCTTTCATGACCTTGGCAGTTTTGCATATTACAGGCCAGCTATTTTGGATAATTTCCCTCAATTTGGGTTTGTCTTAGTTTCCTAAAGATTAGATTTAGCTTAACGCATTTTTTTTTAAAGGTTTACTTGTTTTATTTTTATTTATTTATTTTTTAAGATTTTATTTGTTTATTTGACAGAGATCACAAGTATGCGGAAAGATAGGCAGAGAGGGAGAAGCTGGCTCCCTGTCAAGCAGAGAGCCCGATGCGGGGCTCGATCCCAGAACCCTGAGATCATGACCTGAGTGGAAGGCAGAGGCTTAACCCACTGAGCCATCCAGGCACCCCAAAGGTTTACTTACTTTAGTGGGAGAGAGTGAGAGCGTGAACCTGTTCGAGCAAGTGGGAAGAGGGGCAGAGGGAGAGGGAAAGAGAGAATCTCAAGCAGACCCCAAGCACAGCCCCAGAGTTTCATCCCACAACCCTAAGGTCACAACCGAAGCGGAAACACCAGATGCATAAGGGACTAAGCCACCCAGGCACCAACATAATAGATTTCTTGGTAAGACTGTCACTTCCCAAAGTTTAACATAAGTTAGATTGTTGTGGCTGTGTTTGAAGGTCTCCCTAAATACTTTCCTGAATGTTGCATTTTGAAACTTAGGAAAAACACGGCTTAAGGAGCCCTGTGTCTTCATTAAAAGTTCACTGCAAAAGGGGTCCCTGGGTGGCGCTGTCAGTTAAGTGTCTGCCTTCACCTCAGGTCCCTGGGATCAAGATTCCCCACAGCAGGCTCTGCGCTCACCAGGGAGTCTGCTTGTCCCTCTCCCTTGCACTCTGCCCCTCCTTCGTGATTTCTCTCTCCTGCTCTCAAATAAAAAAAATTTTTTTGAAAAAAAAATTAACTGCAAGGAACTATTGTTTGAATACTGTGCTCTTTTGAAAAGTAGTTTTTGTGTAGATCAGAATTTTAAAGAATTTTTTTTATATGGCTGTTTTCTTATTAAGTCATTTTATTTTGCTGAATTGCAAGCTAAGAAATAAGATTTTTTTTTTGTAATTGTCACATTAAACTGAATAGGGAAAGTGTGCACATTTTTCGTGATTGGTGCTTAACAGTAAATTCCAAACTTTGTCTGTTAGTGTGTTTGCTGTTTTAGATTTATAGTTTCACTTCACATTGGCTTCGTTTTGTAAGTGAAAGACAAGCCATGGGGTGGGAGTAGATACTTGCAGCACATAAAACTGACAGAGGGCTTGTATGCAGAGTTTACAAAGAATACCCACAGATAAATATGACAGAAAATCTAAAAGCAATAGGCTACTCAGATGGCCGATAGATAAATGAAAAGGGGCCCAACTACAATGAGCTACCACTATACACCAATCGAAATGGCTAAAAATATAAAAGATGGATAATAGCTAAATGTTCGCTGAGGTGTAGAACAACTGGATTTTTAAAGAATAATTAGTGGAATTCTTTTGCACTGCTAATACAAGCGTAAATTGGTAAAGGAATTTTGAAGAATCAAATCCATTTCCCGTTTGGAAAACAATATCCACTTAAATCCAACATACACATATCTTGTGTCCGGAAATTCCACCCACCTAAAATGAATGTAAACATGGATATAACTTTAGTTGTAAAGAATTAATATCTGAGGGTATTTTGAAGTAGATTCCTTTCAGTTTTCCGGGTGAATATTTCTCTCTCTTTTCCATAAAAGTTGATGGCTTTTTTTTTTTTTTTTTTTTTTTTAAAGGCAGATTTAGTTAAGTTCTTGTGACCTCCAGATAATGTCATGGAGGAGTGCCCTTAATCCGTTGAACATTTTAGTCACAGGACTGCTGCATGGGGCCCATTTACTTCAGAGTCTGACCCAAATGGAGCATATGGCACTAATTCTTCATAATCTGTTTTCCTCCTTGTTTTTAAGTTATTTGTGTGTAGTTCATGGTGTTGTCCTGGAGTATTTGGGAAAGGACTTAGAAGGCCAAGGGGAAGTGTTAATGGGTGGATTGTAGAAGGGATAAGGAGAAAATCTATACTGTGAGGGGCATTATGAAATACAAACAAAGAATACAAACAGGAAACAAAACGTTTTGAAGAATTATACTACGACTTCCTAATTATTTCATAAATTGATTATTTGAATTTAAGTGAACTCTTACTAAAGTTGAAGTTTGGATTCAGTATACTATCCTGCTGAATTCTGAACTAACAACTTGTACATATGATATTTGTCATTGCATGTTTTTCTGCCTCTTCCTCTGGGAATGGGCATAGGGAAGCTATACAATTTTGTTTATTAGGCTTATCGAGGCAAAGAAAGGGTTAGATTTTTGTTAGCCAGTATGCTAAAAAAAATAAAATAAAATTTTAAGCTGAAAAAACTTAATACTGGAGCATTCAAATTGAATTTACTCTTAAAGGTTTGAGAAGGTAACCATCTGAGTATTTGTCCTTTTTTTTCCAGTGTAAATAAATGTTGCTTTGCTCAGTGAATTTTAATTTTCTAAACAAATATCTTTTTTTCTCATTTTCCTCAAGCATGGGGGGTAAAATACCACCTGCCACTCATAAAACTAAATCAGAAGACAGTATCAAGGTAAGTTATGAATTTCATCTGTATGTTTAGTGATAAAGTACTATAAGGTTTTTAAAGTGCTGCTCTCAAATTACCACTCCTGATTTCCTCAGGATTGCTTAGAAATAAGATCTTCGTGGGGCGCCTGGGTGGCTCAGCGGGTTAAAGCCTCTGCCTTCGGCTCAGGTCATGATCCCAGGGTCCTGGGATCGAGCCCCACGTCGGGCTCTCTGCTCAGCAGGGAGCCTGCTTCCCTTCCTCTCTCTGCCAGCCTGTGATCTCTGTCTGTCAAATAAATAAATAAAATCTTTAAAAAAAAAAAAAAAAGATCTTCGTAAAATTTCTTTTGGACATGGCGGATCTGAAATCTGATGTAACACGGAGAATTTGGGGTGAATGTGCACCATGTTTGGGAATAAAAGCTTGTGTGTGTGTGTGTGACGTGCATGACCTGTAGGTGGTGAGCTCTGTGACTGTGCCCTATGTAGTCTTCATCATCTTTGCATCTGTAGCACCGAGCACAGGACTTTATGCATTGTGGGTACTTGATTAAAATTTGCGAAGTAAATGAAAAATAGTCCAAATCAGTAATTCTTTACTTTTTCTATCTTATCACCTGAGGATTATTTCTGAGTATGAGTCAGCATATTCGCCCAAAAAAGGCACATAATAGATTAGGAGGAGCTTACCGGTAGCTGAAGTTTAAATATGGGGGTGGGTATACCCTTAAGAATGCATCCTTCAAGAGAAGAGTGGGGCAGAGGGAACAAAAAAGACTTCTGGTGGCTCATGAGAAAGAAAGCAGAAAACAGCCTGCTAGCTCCTTTAAAGTAGGCAGGAAACCAGCCCTAACAATGGACAGAGGAGGGGATTAATGCCAAGCCAAGCTTACTAGCTCTTTGAGCTCTCATTTTAATTTCATTTTTATTTCTGATCCTCCTCCAAAGACCTCTCCCATTCTTTTTCTTTCTTTCCTTTCTCTTTCTTTTTTCCTTTCTTCTTTCCCCCTTCCTTCCTTCAAAACAAAAATGCTTCAGAATTCTTATTTGTTTTGTGTTTTCACATCTAAATATTTTTCCCCAAGTTTCCTTCCTTTCTTCCTTCCTTCCTTCCTTCCTTTTTTTTAGAGAGAGAACACGAGGGGTGGGGAGAACAGAGATAATCTTAAGGAGATTCCATGTTGAGCATGGAGCCCAACACTGGGCTAAATCTCACGACCCTGCAGTCATGGCCTGAGCCAAAATGAAGAGTCAGACTGAGCCAGCCAACCAGGTCCTCTCCCTAAGTTTTCTGATTAGTGGTCTTCAATTGATAAGAAAAGAAACTATTTTATTTTTTAGAACCCTAAACAAAGTTCATCTATCTGGATATGAAATCAGAAGTTCTATCTTTGAACAAATGAAATGAGAGAAATAAAACAAGCCCCAAAAGTAGTTACTCCTATTTTAGAGGAGTCATTTGTCAGAGTTTACTAGTTCCTGATAGGATGCTTTTGATAGTATACCTAGATAGGATATTTTTTTAATAAGACTTTATTTATTTATTTGACAGAGATCACAAGTAGGCAGAGAGGAAGGCAGAGAGAGAGGGAGGAAGCAGGCTCCCTGCCGAGCAGAGAGCCCGATGCGGGGCTCTATCCCAGGACCCTGAGATCATGACCCGAGCTGAAGGCAGAGGCTTTAACCCACTGAGCACCCAGGCGCCTCCTATATAGAATATTTTGCTATGTGGTAAACATGTATGAAGACAAAATTATATTTAATCTGTGTCTCTGCTAAAATATTTTGTAAGAAAACATTCTGATTTGGAATTAAATGCTAAAATGTCTGACACCTTGCATGTAGTAGGGTCTCAACATATATTTGGTAATGACGTTGGGTTTTGATTCTAATTTTTAAGAATTACAAAAAGTAGCAACCTAAATAACTGGTTACATAATTTATACTAATACAGTTAAATGAGTAGACGGGATGTGCTAATTGTGATACATTCTTTATGAAACAGCATTATTAAATGGAAAGGTCAAAGTGCAGAGTTGTCTTGTATCTGTGCGTTGAGAATATCTAATGGCATACTCCAGAAACCACACTGGTTACTTACAGGATGGTAAGGAAATTTGGTTTTCATCATGTGTACTTTGAAATTCTTTGAATTCTCATCATTTGTGTATTATGGGTCCATTGTTCTGTATTTGAAATTCCAAACTCAGAACCGTTGAAAATGTAAAGATTGTTAGTGTATTTGTTTGTCAGTAAAGCATAATCTGAACAGATGTGAGGCTGTTTATAGTTTCCCACTTGTGAACGCTTCGACTTTTTTTTGCAGGGATAGTAATATGTTGATTAGGGAGAGTTGTGGACCACAGAGCCTGTTGAAAGTGCAGCATGAGTATGGGTTATGTATTTGTGTTAGCTTCCTACAATCCAGCATTTTTTAAATTCTAAAACTTGTTTAAAAGGTTTGGAGGAGGGATTGGACCTATTCTTAATTTAAATAGAGAAATGAAAACAAAGCTAAAACAAGTTTACTAAAACAGTATAAGAAGGGTTACATTAACAGTTGAAATATAACTTATGTAAACGGTTTATATATGTTTTTATAAATTAGTATATATATTGGTGTGTTGTTATATACTGAAAGCATTATTTGCCTTCCCTTTGGTAGGAAGAAAAACCAGATAGTAAGAAGGCGGAGGAAAACATAAAGACAGATGAACCATCAAGTGAGGAGAGTGATCTAGGTGAGAAGATGGTATAGTTAGTTTGTATTTGATAATCTCATGATAAGATCCTGTGCTGATTTTTACTAAATTGACTTAATCAGGGCTAACAGAAATGTAACATAGCTAAACTACATCCAAAACTTAAAATTTTCTAGTAGCCACATTAAAAAACTAAAAATTAAACAGATGAAATTAACTGAATATATCTAAACTAACATATCTAAAATATTAACATTTTAACATGTAATCAGTATGGAAAAATTATTGGTGAGCTCTCCTTTTTTTCATACTAAGTCTTCAAAATTCAGGGTATATTTTATACTTACAGCACATTTCAGTGCAGATGTTAGATGTTACATTTTTGTGTAAGTATTTGATGTATATTCAGACTTAATTAAATTTGTAGTTGGGTTACATAACCAAATTGTTCTAAATAAATGTAAAAGTTTTCCAGTAACTGAATCAAGTACCAGAAAATTATTTTCCTGTTACTACTTGCATCCACATTGATAAAACTTGTTCATTTTAGGAGAAATGATATGCCATGAGTTTGGTTGTTTTTTGTTTGGAAGTTTTTCAGGCTGCAGAGTGACAAAAATCTTTTCCTAAATTGGGAAGTCCTTTGAGACTATAAATACATATCCCAGTTATTAAATGGGCAGTCTCTTAATTCATAGACTGTCTAAAAGCTAAAGAAATGTATTTGTAATTTTTAAAATTTTGATCAATTGATCTTTGATACTGTTAGAGAGGACCTCTTGTTTGTGGGCTTAATTGATGATCTTTCACTTTTTGTAAAATATCTTTTTCAGTCTTAAAATTTTCCAAGTTTTAACTATGATAATATCTTACCATCTCCTCATCCAAAAGCAATTTGTTTTTTGTGTATGAATTAAGCTTTTTTTTTTTTAAAGATTTTATTTATTTATTTGACAGAGAGAGAGATCACAAGCAGGCAGAGAGGCAGGTAGAGAGAGAGGAGGAAGCAGGCTCCCCGCTGAGCAGAGAGCCCGATGCGGGGCTCGATCCCAGGACCCTGAGATCATGACCCAAGCCGAAGGCAGCGGCGCAACCCACTGAGCCACCCAGGCGCCCCGTGAATTAAGCTTTTTTATAGTTAGGCAAAGTTACAAGTTCAGTTCCTATTAAAAGTTGACTGAAATTTTCCTGTTTGACAATAATTCGAACTTCAGGTTGCTGATTTCAGTTTCATTCTTTTTTTTTTTTTTTTTAAGTTCATTCATTTAATCTGTGCACCCAGCGTGGGTTTTGAACTCAGAACCCTAAGATCAAGAGTCACATGCTCTTCTGACTGAACCAGCCAGGTGTCCCTCAGTTTCATTCTTTTTTGACTGTCAGCAGGAAACATTCAATTCACTCTTACTTGCTAAAAACTCTCTTAATATTGTCTGTTATTTTGAGAAGTTTTTCTTATTGAACAGTTGTTTTCCTTTACTGTAGCAAATTACAGTTGTCTGTCATGAAATTTATGACATATCTCTTTTCTAGTTTCTTTGCTCTTTGGTTATAGTGCTAGCTTTTGAGTTAGAGTCTGCATCAGCATTGTGCCTTTATCTTAATTTACTTGTAAAAGATATTTATTATGATTTACATCATCACTATAACTTAATGCTATCTCCATAAAATATTTTTTAATATATTACATTGATGTGTAGAATAAAATACTTGAACTGAATCATTTTGTTGATACTACCTAAATCAGTGGTGTGTCTCTGTGTAATACCAGAAACTATGCACTTGCCAACATTTCCCACTACAAGACAGTGAAAAATACCCGAGATGATGCAACAGTTAAAATGAAATGTAATCTTAACAAAATTTAATGGGGAAATACTTTACAGTGCATCAGTTTAAATAAATTATGAGTTGGAGTGGGTATAGTTGATTAGTTTTTAAGAGTCCTATGCAGCCAGTTTAGATAGCACGGGTCTTACTGTCATTTTCTTAATTTTGGCAGAAATTGACAATGAAGGTGTGATTGAACCAGATACCGATGCCCCTCAAGAAATGGGAGATGAAAATGTAGAGGTAAATTCAGTGGCTTATTTTGTGCTTGTTGTAAGGAATGCGAAGGTCCCACTTACTGCAATGATTTTGTGACATAATTCTGCCAGGAAAAGAACGTACTGAATCTTTCTCTTACTTAAGGTATTTAGGAAAACATTTTTTATTTTACTGCTTAAAATGTTTGTGAAAGTTCCCATTATGTTTACTCATACTCTAACAATCTCAGAAATCTTTAATTTCCTTTTTACCTGCTTTTTCAATTTGCATCTGTTTTGACTACTCTTTAGGTTAGAGTTCACCTAACATTTATATTTAGAAATGAGATTTCTTATTAATGAGATATCTAATATCCCATTGTTTTCCAAAATGGTTTTATCACAGTGGGGACAGTTTTACGTCAAGGTAGTGAAAATTGGTTCTTGGGAGGGGGCTTGCAAAAAACCTTAGATACTACAGTGGTTGGTGGTCTTCCAGAGGGTCGTAACATACATGCAATATGTCTCTGTGGTATTAAAATAGAATGTGGGAGTATTAAAAAGTGTCTCTACGCTCTTTGGGGGTTGATGATGAACCAAAGGCTTGAGAAACACTGAAATTGTGTAACAATGGTTTAGAAGCTTGGTCCATGTCCTCACCAACACTTGATGCTATCAGATTTCATCAGATTTCATCTTCACCGGGCTTATCACGTGAAATGGTATGCCTTTGTGGCTTTTAATTTGCATTTTTCCAATTTCTAATAAAGTTGAACAAATTCTAATATTTATTGGTCATTCACAGGTATTTGCAAAGTCCTGTTGTGACTTTCCCCATTTTTCTTCTGGGTTGTCTTTTTTTTCTTCCTGATTTATAATCCATTTTATGTTCTAGAGACTAACAATTTGTCATCTATATGTGCTCCACGTATATTCTGCTAATTTGTGGCTTGTCTTCACTTTATGTTGTCTTAATAAACAATCTTTTAGTACAGTTAAATAGATTTTTCTTTTATATATTATGCTTTCTTACTTCAAGGTTATAATTGTTGTAATAAATAATTTTTTCCTTCTGAAAATTTTATGTTAACCTTTAACCTTTAATCTACGTGGCAGCACTATTAAAGAATTCCTTTCCTCACCAATGCCAAAATACACTGTTTCCATATATATGTGCCTCACTTCTGGTGTTGTGTTTTTCTTGTCTAATTTTTTCCATGTACCAATGACACATTGTCCACGTAATGGCTTATTATCTGATCGGGGCCCCCCCCCTAACAATTTAGGAGTATTTTGGCTGTTTTGTTGGCCTTTCTTTTTCCATATAAATTATAGAATATTATCAACCCCCGCCCCCAGTTAGACATGCATTAAATCTAAAATCAAGTTCGGGAGAAGATACAGCTCACTGTTTTGATTAACTACTCATGAATGTGTATCTTTCTAATTTTTAGATGTTTTCTGATGTTGTTAGATAATTTATTAGCATATTCTCCATAAAGATCATGTGCATCTTTAAGAAATATAGGTACTTTTTGTCACTTTATTATGAAAGGAATTTTTAAGAATTTATGTATTCTATTGTATTCTGTTGATGATGTATCACTTGACATGTCAGGTTTACAACATTGTATTTGCATTACTTGGAATATATTGGGCATTTTAAATTCTAGGGTTAACTTCTTTAGCTCTGGAACATTTTCATCTAGTATCTTTTGAATATTGCCTCTTCCCCATTTTCTCAACTGTCATTCTGGAGTCCTAGTTAGGTATATGTTAGATTTTTTTTTTCCCACTATTGAATACTATTTCTTTATCACTGCTGAATTATATATCAGTCATTTGGCTGTTGATGTTTGAATTTGAGGGCCTGTGTTTCTCATCTTTATGTCTTACTTTGATTCATTTTAAAGTATCCTTTTTACTTATAATCTCATTTCTTGAATCATTTTCAGAACTTGCCTTTATACATTATAAACTTCGTCAAACTCTTCCTGGTTTTATTCTTTTATTTTTCCTTACTCTTGCTCATTGAGGAGGTACGTTGTTTACTTGTGGATGGTGTGGGTATGTGTATTTTGACTGCGTGCACACGCATGTGTATGTGTGTGTTAGACTATGAGTTCTTTGACATTTCATCTGGAAAAGTTTTTGAGGCCTGGGTAGAAGGTGCATTCCTCCAAAGAGGAAAATGTTTGCTTCCATCAGACTCTTGAGTTGGAGCTACCAGGTCAAGGACCACTTTAAATTCTCAGCATGGTTTTTTTGTTGTTGTTTGTATAATTATACAAGTAATGGGAATTCCACTGGAAATCCTGGCTTATATTATGAGTTTACAGGGGAAATTTTTTTTTTTCTTCTTGCTAGCTGGCTATACCTTTCTTTGGGACAGGTTTACTTTTGGTTTGTTGTTATGCCTGCAGGTATAGGCGTTGGGGAGTTCAGATTTATTGGAGGGTGCTGATTAGACAACATGCCTTCTCTTCACTTGAATCTTCTTTCATGTGTCCTGCACATTTGAAAATAATTGCAAGGTCACCAGGTTTGACACCTGCTGAAAGGGTGAAAGCACATGAATCATTCAGCTCCCATACTGGAATTCAGGTCTTCATTTAATCTTGTTCTTTGAGGATTTCTACATTATTATGTCAAAGATGTCTCTTAAAGTTACTCAGGGCATCAGGTGTAACATACTGCCACAAATTGAAGTTGTCTTCCCCTCCCCGCCCCCGCCGCCCCAATTTGGCTTTGTTAGTTTGTCTTACTATCTGCTGGAATGTGTCTGTTGTTTTTTTTCTTTTTAAGAATATTTTTAAATTTGTAGAAATTTGCTTGGGGTTAGGTTGAAGTATTCAAAAAAAATCTTTCCATGAACATAGTATATACATCTTGTGTTCTTTAATAGAATTTTACTTTTTTCCCTTTTTTTGAAAGTCTTACGTGTTCTTAGAATGGTGTCTTGTTCTGTCCTATTTTGTAACTGATTTTTGCTGATGTGGAGGAACTCTTGGTTTTTTATGTTTCTGTGTTTCTGAGGACTTCATTGAATTGTTTTAGTAGCTCTAATAACCCATCATGTCTTGGATTTACTAAATAAACTTGAAAACAGCTTGGTATTTCCTTTCAGTTCTTAAACCTGTCAAATCATTTTCTTAATTAGCCAGCACCAGTAATATTTTACACAGTGGTTGGTGATAGAGTAGGTCTTTTGCTTTCTGTTAAACTACTTCTTAATCTTCCGTTTAAGTGGGGTGGGATGTTTGCTTTAAGATTTTGTTACTAATGATCTTTGTGTTGTCAGCATCTTGTACAGTGCTCTGTACTGTATAGGTATTCAGTAGATGTTTGTTGGAACAAAAGAATGAGACATTTTTCTTAAAATTTAAGTCTAACAGGACCTAGCAGTAGTTACATCTTTACAGGGAGAATTGAGTTTTACTATATGTGAAAAACTAGAAAGAAGTTGGTGAGACAAGGGCAGGGACATCCTCCTTAGGTTGGGTGGGAGGGAGGGTAGCAAAGTCACGTCTAAACTAAAGGGTAGGAAGTGAAATTTATTGTTTATATATGAAAGATTAAAGCTCATCCTGTGTAATTTCTTATTAATCACTTACCATAGTTATCCTCTTGCTCCCTGGAGACTAGAGAAGAATGAATGAAAATGGGGGTTGTGTCTTCCCCATCCCTAAGAAAGCCCAAGCTGCTTCCTTCTCTTTGTTTTCTCTGTTACTTCTAAGTTGACCTACAATTTCCCCCTAGATAACCGAGGAAATGATGGATCAGGCAAATGATAAAAAAGTGGCTGCCATTGATGCCCTAAATGATGGTGAGTGATTTTTTTCCTCTTTGCTGTATTTCTATGGTAGTCTGAATATTCTATTTTTTTTCCCTGCAGCAACTGTAAAATAGTGGGAAAGTGGAAGGAAACTTAAATCTATTGAGTATCTTATACTGGAAAAGAAATTGTCCTATTGTCTATCCACCCATTCCCCCCCCTTGATAAAGAGGCTGAAGTCACTCAGGTATCAATTACCTTGCCTTACGGCACAGACACATCCTGATGGGAATGGAAAGACTCCTTTCCTGACTAATCCTGGTGTTTGTCCACTGAGGAGAGGCTTTAAGATAAAGGTGAACGTTTTTCAAAGAAAGTATTATTAGAACAGTGGCTCTTAACTTTTTACAAAGCAGCACCCTTGACAAATGATGTCTGTTGGCATAATGTTCTTGTTCTAGTCTTTACGTGTTAGATCCTCTTCAAAAGATCCTTTCACAGTGGGAGAATGCTGGTAATAGAGTAAGCATAATATTTAATCAGTTAACAATTTGTAAGAACAAATCATTTCTTAGCTTGGGTAGTATGCAGACCCCGTCATAGCTTTGTGGTAGTGTGTCACAATGCCATTGTGGGAGAGCTGCTGTTGTCTAATGCCGATGTGCATTTGGACTTCATCTGTAGACTTAGAAGATGACTAAAGTTTTAGAAAGTTCATTATTGATTGCTGTTCCAAGTTGGCAAATAATTTTTGCTATCTTTTTTTGTAATCTTACCACCTTAGTTTAGGTCATGATTCTATGTTTATGCCATTGCATTAGCCTTAATAGTTTGCCTATCTGAAATGTCTATTTCCTTTATTGCTTTCTGTTCACTGTCTCTAGATTATTCTTTCGTAGAACTGTTTTTATTTTCACACATTCCCTTGCTTGTAACCTCTGACCAGCTTTTGCATACTTTTTGAAGATCTTTATCATAGCATTAGACCTGCTAGAGTCCGATCCCATGTATTGCCTTCCCAGCCTTGTTCTCTTCTTTTTGAATATTAACCTTCCATTACAGCCAGACCTCGCTCTCCTAGAATTTTCCTATAACTTGTGCTCTGCTGCTTCTTTCTAAAGCTCTTCTTCACCTATTTCAGCTTCTAATTCATACTCCTCAATTGATCCCAGCTACTTTCTTTCTGGCCATTCCTTTCCCACACTTATCTTTTAATTTTACTACCACTTAAGATTTCTATTTATCCAACATTTATTTTGTGCCTTCTGCCTACCTGACAGTTTTGTTATTTTTTAATGTGCATTTTTTCATTAAAACCTCATACTACTCCCCCTTCACAGGTTCATGAATAATTTGAGGGATCAGAGGGTTTTGACTTGTGCAGGATCTTACTGTGCCATAATATCAACTAATTGTTTTTGTCACTTGTTTTGGCATATTGTCTTATGTTTTTCAAATTTGTTTTATTTATTGCCTAGCCATTTTTAATGAAAATGAAGCTGTTGCACCATCTAAAAAGTCATGTTCTTGTTTTTCCACATTTCTTTCTAAGCTGTGTTCATGCATAAATTTAGCCTTGTTCTAATTTTATTTTATTAAAGATTTATTAACTTGGGGCACCTGGGTGGCTCAGTGGGTTAAGCCTCTGCCTTCGGCTCAGGTCATGATCTCAGGGTCCTGAGATCGAGCCCCACATTGGGCTCTCTGGTCGACAGGGAGCCTGCCTCCCCCTCTCTCTCTGCCTGCCTCTCTGCCTACTTGTGATCTCTCTCTCTGTGTGTCAAATAAAATCTTTGGAAAAAATGATTGATTAACTTATTTGAGAGAGAGAGACAGCATGAGCAGGAGGGGCGGAAGGAAAGGGAGAGAAAATCTCAAGTGGACTCCACGCTGAGCGTGGAGCCTGACTCTGGCCTTGATCCCAGGACCCTGAGATCATGAGCTGAGCCAAAACCAAGAGCTGGACACGTAATTGTCTGACCCACGCAGGCGCCCCAGCTTAGTTCTAATTTTACAATAAGTGCAACTTTATAGCACATCCCTAAAGGGATAAAACATTAGTATTCTAAGCCGGGGATTGTATATTCAGGCCTCAGGAGGGGCAGAAATACAATTAAATACTGAACTTAGGAATCCAGAGTGCCTGGCTTTGAATCCCAAGTCTGGCACTTACCAGCCAGATAAACTTAGAGAAGTTATTCTTTGTTTCTGTTTCCTTCTCCTTTTTTTTTCTTTCTTTAAGCAGGTTTTTTTTTTTTTAAAAAGATGTATTATTTATTTGAGAGTGTGTGTGCAAGCAGGGGGAGAAGGAGAGAGAGTCTCAAGCAGACTGCATGCTGAGTGTGGAGCTTAATCTCATGACCCTGAGATCGTGAGCCAAGCCAAATCCACGAGTTGGATGGTTAACTGACTGAGCCACTCAGGCGCCCCTTTTCTCCTTTGTAAGATAAGGTTAATGATACCTACCTAGTATATTGAGTCATGAGGGATAAATGAATAAATATGTGTAATGTGCCTAGAATAGTGTCTGGTGCCATTGTTTTTAAGGTCCTGGTATTAGTAAAGTGTCAGTAATTGTAATTTAAGTAAGACCTCATTAAGTCTTTTTAGCGGTCACGTTACCAGTAACGTTATTAGGCTTTTTAACTTCAGTATATTTATTTAAAACTTACATGTTCTAGGCAGTGTTTCAGATGCTAGATGTACAGTAAGAAAAGCAAAACAGACCAAGTTCTTTATCTCATGGACCTCATACATTACTGGGGAACAAAACCTCATTTATAATTTGATATTGGGTGGTGATAAGCACAATGAAGAAGAACGGCTGAGTAAAAGAATAGTGATGGAAGCTGCATTTTGCAAAGGGTGGTCAGGAGAGCTTAGGATGAAGTGAGTGAGCCATGTGAGGACGAGCCTCAGACAGGGAAGAAAACGTGCAGACGCTAACTGGGGGGAGCACATGGGCTGATACATGTTCAGGGAATAGCAGAGATTCCTTGAAGCTGGAGTGTAGTGATTGAAGGGGTAGGAATGGTAGACTTGGAGAAATGCGGTCAGAGAAGCACTTTGGGAGACATACGGGGGAGATACGTGGTAGGAAGGTGGTGAGGAGGATAGATCATTAAAGATCTGTAGTACATCTCCGAGATCACTTGTAGACCATACTAAGGACTTAAAAGTTTTTATTCTTAAGGGTGACGGGAAGCCACTGGGGTGTTGTTGTTGTGAGGTGTTCTTTGTTTTTGTTCTGTTTTTGAATTGGAGATCTTCATCATGAGATGCATTTACTTTTGAAAGGGATTATTGTTACTGTTTTATGTAGATGAGACTCTAAGGGCAAATAAGGGTATGTTCGTTACAGAAGAACCCAAAATGAGTTGATGAACCAGACATACACTTAAGAAAATGCATGAGAGGAAAAATAGGGGAGCAGGGAGAGCCAGAGGAGTTTGGAAGTCATTTAGACAGTCATGTAGGTCTTTACCCCTGTATAGAAGTCTTCAACTAGTGGTATGTTTCTAAAAAGTCATGATAAGCCAGAGTTGCCCACTAGAGGATTTAACAGTCTCACAATAAAGGACCAGTCTTGGTATCCTAACTGTTCTTAAGTCATTAGCTCGGAGCAGCTTATGAAGTGTAGCCTTGAGCACAGAACATGGGGTGTTCTCAGTTAGCTGTTAACCCCAAGGAGAGCTAGGGTGCATTTTGATGATCCTACAAAAGAATGCAAGAAATTGAGTCCAGGTGGCCAATAATGATGGCCTGGATTAGGGCAAAGGTTCCCAGATTTTCTCTGTTCATAGTGCTTTTTCAGTCCTGATTTTTTAACAGAGCTTTTAAGCCGAGAGAAAGGCCATAAGGTTTCATTGATAGTTTAGTTAGGTCCAAACAATTGAATAAGGATGTCGTACCAACTTAGTGATTGCAAAATAATACACAAATTGAAAAAATATATTTAATCTTATTCTTAAGCAACAGTGTTTATGTTCTAATAAGATGTATATATATGTTGGGCACTAAACAACATACCAAATCTTGGCGTCCTGTTGGACACTGCCACCCTCATTCCCTGTTCCACATCTATTTTTCTGTAGTTCTTGCTTGGTTTTATTTTTGTTTTGTTTTGGTAACAACCAGTAAAAGCAGTTTTTTAAAGATACCATCAAAAGGAATGTAATGATGCAGCGTTGAAGCTGTGAACTATATCAAGTGAGTAGTTCATGCAGTGCTAACGTTCTGTCCTGTGGCCCTTTGGTTGCGGTGTGGAAACTTCAGGACTAGGGCGAGGAATGGTTTGATTCTTCTTCTTCTTCTTCTTCTTTTTTTTTTTTTTTAAATACAGACTTACTTATTTTGGGGGTGGTGGTATGAGAGGAAGAGGGAGAGAGAACCTCAGGCAGACTCCCTGCTGAGTGTGGAGCCCAACCGTGGGGCTTGACCTCAGGATCCTGAGATCATGACCTGACTGAAATCAAGAGTCTTGGATGCTTAACCAGCTGAGCCACCCAGGCGCCCCAGGAGTGCTTAGATTTAGGTATATTTTGAAAGTAGAGCTAAATGGATTTAAGTTTTAGATTGGGGAGTTGAGAATGACTCTCTAAGATTTGGGTGTTTATGTAGATCAGGAGTTCACCAAATTACAGCCTCCTGTTTTTGTAAAAATGTAATGGAACATGGCGACACCCATTTGTTACGTGTTGTCTGTGGCTGCTTCCCCACCTAGTAGAGTTGAATGGTTATGATTGTTACGGTCTGCGAAGCCTGAAATAATTCTTGTGTGGCCCTTTGCAGAAAAGTTCACTAACCTCCAAACTAGATTGAATGGAAGAGCCATTTATTTAGTTGGTAATATAAGGATGAGAAATAGATTTTAGAGATAGGGTTGGAATTAAGAGTTCAGTTTTTAACATGGTAGAAGTGAACTGCCTGTTAGACAGTCAAGTGTAATAATTTGAAACAGGCTTCTGTAGTAGTACTTAGTAAGACTCTGTTCTGTGCTTTGTTTTATGAGTTCTCCTAAGGTCCTTTACAGATTTGCTAGCTGGGTAAATGTATTTTCCAAAGTGAACTGTGACATTTACTTTAAAATTTGATGTTTGTCTTGCCCCGCCCCCCATGTTTCCTATGTTCAGGACTAAGACTTCATGCCAAGAACTATTCTAATTGTATAGTATGTTTTATTTGTTCAATGACTTCACTGAAGGCACTTAAGCACAAAGAAGCTAACTGTGAGAGTAGGATACAATAAATGAATTTAAAATGAGGGTTACAGGCTTTTCATGAATTCTAATTTTGTTGAATTTTACACCATTCCTGTGAATTCAGATAGTAATTTTTTTAATCAACCCTATAAATTTAGTATATTTCCTTTATAAGTTTAATTTTATCCTTTAACTTTTGGATAAAAGAGAATTAATGGGATAAAGTTGATTTCTCTTTTATCCTTTTATTTTTTTCTTAAGTGTAAAAAAAATCATGAGTCCTAAGAATGTGGTATTCTGCTAGGGAATTATGTATCCAAAAATTGTCTCTATCTTGAGTGATTTACCATATAGATGTGGTAAGACTTGCTTTGAAGAGCCATTTTGTTGTTGTTGTTGTTGTTTTCTTTTTAAGATTTTATTTATTTATTGAGAGAGAGAGCGTGGGAAGCAGCTGAGGGAGAGGGAGAGAGAGTATCTCAAATAGATTCTGAGCTGAGTGTGGAGCCCGACGGAGGGCTCAGTCTCACAACCTTGCGATCATCACCTGAGCCAAAATCAAGAGTCAGACTTAACCAACTGAGCCACCCAGGCATCCCCGAGGAGCCATTTTTATATACTAATTTAGTATAAGTCTTTTTTTAAAAATTGGACTAAAAGAAGAATGTGGAAGACTAGTAGGGTAAGGGGTCAACATTTTTGTTAATATTTTTTATTCTTTATTTCTCTACTTGTTTTACTTCAGGTGAACTACAGAAAGCCATTGACTTGTTCACAGATGCCATCAAACTAAATCCTCGCTTGGCCATTCTGTATGCCAAGAGAGCCAGGTGAGACCTAAAAACAAAAAAGAAGCCCCTCATGAAGAATTTCTGCTCATTTATTTAAATAGAATTGGTTCTGTGATCCCAAAGGTGTTATTGTTTGAAATGAATACTTTTTAATATCACACTTATTTTTTTAGTGTCTTCATCAAATTACAGAAGCCAAATGCTGCCATTCGAGACTGTGACAGAGCTATTGAAATAAATCCTGATTCAGCTCAGCCTTATAAGTGGCGTGGGAAAGCACATAGGTAAACAACAGAATTTCATTATTTTCAGAACTTTAAATTTTAAATCTTCTTTTTTTAATTTTAAGATTTTATTTATTTATTTGACAGAGACACAGCGAGAGAGGGAACACAAGCAGGGGGAGTGGGAAAGGGAGAAGCAGGCTTCTCACTGAGCAGAGAGCCCAATGTGGGGCTCGATCCTAGGATGCTGGGATCATGATCTGAGCCCAGGGCAGACACTTAATGACTGAGCTACCCAGGCACCTTAAATCTGACGTTTTAATATGCTTTGAAAAAAATGAAATTGCTCAAGGATTTAATTTCAAAGTAGTATTTGCTTAATATGAAGAATTGAGAGAGTATAAGGAACAAATAAGAAAATAAAAATTCTTTTTTTCCTACAAAGAGAACCACTATTTAGGGAGTTTTTGACTATGTATATCCAAATTTAAGGTAAGGATCAAAATTGTTTCTAAAAAAGAGCCGAGCCTTACAAATTTTCTCTTAGTTTTAGATTTTCTTTGTGTAACCTAACATTAAATAACTGATATGTTATAGAAGAAGGAATTCCTTATTTTCATACTACTTTTGTTGCTGCTAGGTCACCTGAAAAATCAGAAAAAGGGGACAGTAAAGAGGTGAATTTATCTTAGCTTAGTCATCATTCCTAGAAATTAAACTTAATGTTAAACAAGTGGGTATTGGTGACTTGAGGATGAGATGTCCAGTGACACGTGTTACGTGAATTGGAAGGGTATTGTACTCTAAGTATGGATGGAAATGAAGATGGATATGCTTGGGACAGCTTTATTAGGTCACTCAAAAGGAGCCCTAGTGATTATGAAGACATGTGTCAAAGATAGAGGTGAAAGATTAGAAAAAGATGTATTTCTGCTCTGGAGGTCAGAAAGCTCATGCGTTGCGGTGTGACCCCAGTAGTCTTTGAGTGTTTCTTTGCTGCTCCCCCCCCCTTTTTTTTTTAATTTACTTGCCTTCGGGTACAAGGTAGCATGAGCTCATCTTGTGTTTTTATTGTCCCAGACAGAATTAACCACTACTCAAAGTCACCAGCGTTCATTTTTGTGAGCATTATATTTACAGAAACCAAAGTTTGGCCATGGGTGTGTTTGTTGCCTGTGATGTATCAATATTTCTGTTATTTCAGTGAACAGAAACATTTTTTAATTTTTTTAAAAAGACTTTATTTATTTGAGAGAGCGAATGAGCATGATGAGCAGGGGGTGGGGCAGAGGGAGAGGGAGAAGCAGACTCTGCTGAGCAGGGATCCTGATGTTGGGCTCCATCCTAGGACCCCAGGATCATGACCTGAGCCAAAGGCAGATGCTTAACCGACTTGAGCATTCCAGGTGCCCCAGAAAAAAAAAATTTTAAATAATGATTTTAGGGGATCTTATGGAATCTTGAGTTTATACTGATATATTCAATTAAAATCCAATATTAATATTGTTTCCCTTTTGCATTTTTAAATACTGTTTTCCTAGACTCAAAGTCTTTATCCATATATATTTACTTGTGTTATTCTGTGATAACATGAAATTGTTTTACAGTCCTATGAAAATAATAATCTAGGTAAAGTTGAATGTTTTCGTATTTGTTTGCCACCTTTATCCTTAGAATATATCCCACTTAAGATACACAGTCAAAATACTGTTTTAAAAGTTATGTGACTTTCGGGGTGCCTGGGTGGCTCAGTCAGTTAGGCGTCCTGAATCTTTTTTTTTTTTTTTTTTTTTTTAAGATTTTATTTATTTGTCACAGAGAGTGAGAACAAACTAGGGGAAATGAGAGGCAGAGGGAGAAGCAGACTCACCACTGAGCAGTTAGCCCAATGTGGGACTCGATCCCAGGACCCTAGGATCATGACCCGAGCTGAAGGCAGCCGCTAAACCAACTGAGCCACCTATGCGTTCCAAGTGTCCCAAAACTTGATTTCAGCTCAGCCAAGATTTCTGGGTCATGGGATCAAGCCCTGTGCAGCCAACTTTGGATTTTCTCTCTCTCTCTCCCTCCCACTTAAGTGCACACTCACTTTCTCAGTAAATAAATAGATTAAGTGTACATGTATATGTATAGGTTACCTTTTTTTCTATATGCTGCACGCTCAGTGCTGTAAACTGCTTTTACTTTATTTTCTTTCCCTTCCTGTTTGTATTCAGGTTAGGGGCTGCTTTATTTCTGTTAATTCTGTCTTAATTTTCTTCTTTACATATGTAAAACATTTGCATATTTAACGAGTCAAAACTGAGTTGACAGGTATACCCAGAGAAGTCTCATTTCCATTGCTATCCCCTCTACTCCATTCTTACCTTTTCCCACCAACCTTTAGTTCCTGATTTACCTTTTCTCTTCTTTCAATAAAATGTGCACACATGTAGTGTATGTTTTGTTAATCCTGTTTTTAAGGAGTTGAAATTGTTGAATGAGCTTGAAAATTGTAGTTGTACATAATTTTTAAAAATTTTATATTTTGAATTAAGAAAGTAATTTTTTAAGTTTTTAAATGTTTTTTAGAAAACAGCTTTATAGTTGCCGAGGAAGTTAAACTCCCAAGTTTTTATAGAGTAGAACATAATAATTGAATTGGTATGTGAAAATTTATAGTTCAAATATTTTAACTTTAAACCTCTTCTGTAACAATTCCTTTTTTTAATAAGGAAGAAAGACACCACCACATTAGTGGATATGTATAAAAGGCCCCTAAAATTAATATAATCTGTTTCAGACTTCTGGGCCATTGGGAAGAAGCAGCACATGATCTTGCCCTTGCTTGTAAACTGGATTATGATGAAGATGCTAGTGCAATGCTGAAAGAAGTTCAACCGAGGGTATGTTCAAGTAGAGAAAGGGAATGTCATTACTGTGGTGCTCTGTGGCTCTAATACTTAGCTCCTGGCAGTAATTTACCGGCAAAACAGATACAAAGAAATGTTTGGATATTTCCGTCTGTAATTACTGAGTTTGTGCTGAACTCAGGTAATGTCAGTAGGTTGTCAAGCCTACTTCTCATGCTGCATTACAGCAAGCTCTATTACTTTGTCATCTGCAAGCCTACAGTAGAGTTATAACCAGAAATTTAGAAATGGAAAAGGGAGCATCAGTCAAGTTTACGGCAGGGAAAAAAATAGAAAACATGTAAAACATGACCCAAGGTTGTGTCTGGTCTGTCCTTGTTTATTGTAGGTATATACAGCCACTGTGTAAAGCCTGAGGGCCTTGTGGAAGTTAGCAAGTTTCATCCTTTTTAAAATGATAATATTGACTTCAAAAGCTCTAGAATACTCTGTTTTAAGGTAATTATTAAAATAATTTTAATGCATTTACTTGGTAAATTCTTCAGTTTTGTGGGGTGTTAATACTACCAAGAATTTATTCCTAAAGATTATAAGGTATGGAAACCTTATTGAATTTCACGTATCTACAGTCAGAGACTTTTTGATTTCTTTTTTCCTCTCATAACAGGGCTAACTCCAATAAGGTTATGATGAGAGATGGTCTGAACATAGATTCTTTCTTTTTTTTTTTTTAAGATTTTATTTATTTATTTGACAAATAAAGATCACAAGTAGGCACAGAGGCAGGCAGAGAGAGAGAAAGAGAGAGGAGGAAGCATTCTCCCTGCTGAGCAGAGAGCCCGATGTGGGGCTCGATCCCAGGACCCTGGGATCATGACCTGAGCCGAAGGCAGGGGCTTTAACCCACTGAGCCACCCAGGTGCCCCTGAACATGGATTCTTAAAAAATAATAATAAACAAGCTGAAGTAATAATTGAATATGACTGTCTTACATTTATTTTCTGAATAATGGATTCCGTATACTTGGCTCAGGCTATGTGCTTGTTCCTAGTACCTATATTATCACTTAATCCTTATAACATTCTGTGAGACTAAGTATTTCTTTTCCCTGGCCCCCTTCATTTTATGGATGAGAAAACTTTCAGTATAGTTAGACTGTGACAAATGACTGGTGTATGCGTTTCCAATCTCTACCTTCCCTTGGCCAGTATCTGGCCTTCCCTTGGCCAGTATCTGGCTAGAATTGTGCAATTTGAAAACTTGTCATCCTTGCAGTACTTTTTTGAAATTTATAACACTTCTGACTTAATGTCTTGGCCTCTTATCTTTTATTTCACAGTGGACTTGTTAAAGTGTGAGTTATGTAAGGTCTTTTTCTATAAGGTAAACCTGTCATTATTCAGAACTGTTTGTTGAATTTAACACCTCTCCACAAAGAAAAATGATCTTTAACCAAACTGGTGATTTGGGTTGCCCTTATTCAGCTTTTAAAGAAAACATTTTTTTCTGTGGCTTTTTTCCCGTAGGCCCAGAAAATTGCTGAACATCGGAGAAAATATGAGCGAAAACGTGAAGAGCGAGAGATCAAAGAAAGAATAGAAAGGGTTAAGAAGGCTCGGGAAGAACATGAGAGAGCCCAGAGGGTAAAGTTTCTGTAGCTAAACCATTAAAGGGAAATAAAGTAGATTAGAGATTGAGGATATCATTCTAATTCCTGGCTTTCATTTAATGCTGGCTTCAGTTATGTAGGGTCATACTACTTAAAGAGTTTTCCTTTCTTTCATTATTTCTAGTTTGTAGGGATATTTTGTTCTTAAATTCCTAAGCAAGCTTACATATCACCATTTTATATTATATTCTTGTTTGTGCCCTCCTAAAATTGGGAAAATTTTTTGGTCAGGTAATTAAAACTTGTCAGTATTACTTGTTTTCTTGTGGATGCTTGCCCTAATTTGTTGAATTTTAGGATTCCTCCTGCTCCAATAGTGAATTCATAGCTATTTAAAGTAGACTCTGGCTGTTTTTTAATTTTTAGTCACAAAGTCATAAAATTTAGAAAAAAGTTGTTCATAATTCATCCACAATATTGTTACTGTTCTTAAGGTGTTTCTCCTTGGTTTTTTTTCTAAATTAGCTTTTTGCATTTTGATGCTATCAGTTTTCATCTAGTTATTTCTTTTTCCTTTTTTTTTTTTTAAAGATTTTATTTATTCATTTGGGAGAGAGCGAGAAAGAGAGAGAGAGTGAGAGAGCATGAGAGGGGAGGTCAGAGGGAGAAACAGACTTCCCATGGTGCCGGGAGCCCGATGTGGAACTCAATCCCAGGACTCCAGGACCACAGCCCGAGCCAATAAAGGCAGTCGCCCAACCAACCGAGCCACCCAGGGACCCTCATCTAGTTACTTCTAATATTGTCAAATAAAATGATATAAAGCTATATTATAATTATATAGCATTACTTCCTAATTTTTTGTCATTTAATATTAAATATTAGTATTTAATTAAGTCCATAAAACTGATAATTATATGGAATGAATTTAGTAAGATATAAAGTTAATATTAAATGCTTTTAAAGCATCATGCTTAGTTTTTGGGGTTATAGTTACTGTATTCAGAAGTAATTTTTATATTTATATATCCTTGATGAATTCATAACTAGTTATGAGGGAAATTTATATATATTTTCTTTTACTTTGTTTGCTGACAATAACAAATTTGTAAACCGTGGTTGTGTTTGTTAAGTTATATAGCGAAAGTATGGAAAAGATGAAGTTGAGAAACAAAAGTCATTGGCAGTCTTCATAATCTAACCGTGTGCTTTCATTTTGGAGTTTAACAACATTTAGAATTTACACTTTGCATAAGCATAGACAGACATCAGTACTGTGAATTGCTTTCCAGGTGCTTTTTTCCCTGCTTCTAGTAGAAGTAAAACACTACTTGGTATCATTACCAAAAGTAGTACTCATTGACAACCTATCTGGAAAATTTTGAGAGGGGTTTTGGAGTATGTGTCCTTTAGCTCAGTACTGGCATTTGAAACTTGTCATTCTCTTAAGTCCTTCGACTAGCTGAAATTTTTTATAATTTTTTCATGGTGTTGCATGGGTAGGATACGGGTAGACCATAGACTCCCCACCAGCACCACACTATATGATTTATTTATTTCTTTGTATTAAAGGAGGAAGACGCCAGACGACAATCAGGAGCTCAGTATGGCTCTTTCCCAGGTATTTTTAAAGAAAATTTAAAACTATTTGGATTGTAAATAATTGGAGAATATTCTGATTTGGGGACTCAAATAGGTCTATTATATTTGGGGCTATTAGTCCCTGGAATACTGAAAAGTCTTTAGAATGTTAGCCTCTAGGAAGTTTGAGTCTCCTTTAAAGGTTGTATGTTAGTAGAAATACAGTATATTATTTTCCTCGTGCTTTGAGCAATACACATTTTTATAATAGTTAACTTTTTTTTTTTTTTTTTTGACAGAGATCACAAGTAGGCAGAGAGGTAGGCAGAAAGAGAAAGAGAGAGGGAAGCAGGCCCCCTGCTGAGCAGAGAGCCCAATGTGGGACTCGATCCCAGGACCCTGAGATCATGACCTGAGCCGAAGGCAGCGGCTTAACCCACTGAGCCACCCAGGCGCCCAATAGTTAACATTTAATGAGGTCTGAGCATTGTACTTTTCTAAGAGACTGTGAATTGATTATGATGTATTTTAAGTATTTCTTAATTGTCACAGTGGGTTTTTACTCTGTTACACATTGATATTCATAATATACTAGGTAAAAGCACTATAATGGGATTATTAAGCATAAAAATATTTGGGTCTAGTGTAAAAATAAATACAAGCTCCTTTTTGTAAATGTCAAGTGATGAGAAATTACTAGGGGGGCAAAGCCTTCAGTGATAGCAGAGGTCTAGCTATATGATACAAGTAGAAGAGCAGTTAAAAAGGCACTTCAAGAACAATTTACTTCCTAAATGAGACTGTGAAATTTAAAGACTAGGAAGAGATTTTCGTAAAGTTTTAATTCTAAAGGGGAATCACCTGTCTTCAACTGTTTCAGTAGTAACCAGCTTTCTCTGAAGGAAGGTTTACAGAGGCATTTACGCACCCTTTTTTTTTTTTTTTTTAGATTTTTTTATTTATTTATTTGACAGAGATCACAAACAGGCAGAGAGGCAGGCAGAGAGACAGGAGGAAGCAGGCTCCCTGCTGAGCAGAGAGCCCGATGCGGGACTCGATCCCAGGACTCCGAGATCATGACCTGAGCCGAAGGCAGCGGCTTAACCCACTGAGCCACCCAGGCGCCCCATTTACGCACCCTTTGGTGGTTACATGCCACTAGCTACAACATAAATTTACATGGCAGAAGCTAGAAAAGATAGCCTTTATTCTAAAAAGGTCATGTGCCAAGCAACTTTTAAAAGAGAGGATATATATCGGGGATGACTTGCTGTTTGAAGAAAAAAGCAAGAAAATAAATTGCAGTTCATAGTTTACATTCTGCTTAAAATAGAAATAATCTTTTATCCGGTATCTTTGCTTTAGAAAACAACCACTAGTGTAGATTAATACTAGAGGTAATTTTTTGTTATGTGGTATTTTTTGTTAATAAATTTTTAAAAAGATTTTATTTATTTGACAGAGATAACAAGTAGGCAGAGAGGCAGGCAGAGAGAGAAGAGGAAGCAGGCTCTCTGAGCAGAGAGCTGGATGCGGGGCTCGATCCCAGGACCTTGAGATCATGACCTGAGCTGAAGGCAGAGGCTTTAACCCAGGCGCCCCTTGTTAATAATATTTTATTATCTAGAATTGATAAGCATCCTGGTTAACTCTTGTTGCCTTGGGCCAGTAAATTTTTTTATGGGTAGAAACTAGTTTTTCAGTCAGTAGGAACAGCAAGAGAAACTGGAAATTCTTTTCAGGCCCTCTTAGATCCCCTTACCTGTGACTGCTTATTTATGGGCATGTTGTAAATTGTTGAGCCAGGTGGAAATGAGTTTGTTATATGTATTTCTTTACAATAGCTTACATGTAGTCACCCTTGATCTATAGGATAATGTATATTTCCCTTTATGATGTCTGTATTGGCATAATTGTGATTTCAGAATATCTGCAGTGGACATAAAGGGTTTATGGTAGTGAAAACCTGAGTAGAAGATAATTTTGGTTTATAATCTAAAAATATACTGGAAGAATTAAATCTCTTTTGCTAGAGCATTGTTCTCAGTGAAAGAAGAAACACCACGAGTGCTTATTAAAAATGCAGATTTTTATTTCAGAGATTTGGAATCTGTCTAGGGTGGAGGTAGAAAGCCACAATGTGTTACAACAAGCATTTCATGTAGTACTTAAAAGAATGATCTAGAGGAATATAGTTTAAACAAAAACAAGTAAAGTCTTACAAATTAGAACTTTAAATTGAAACAAATAATGTTAGAGAACATGAAAATAAGATGACAAAGATGATTTATTAGACTTTTTTAATTTTGTAATTCCAAGGGATTGTTAGCTTTCTCTTTGTTTTAAGGTAAGGTTAGTTTTTTGGGTTTTTTAAACAGCTTTATTACTAGGAAAAAATAAGTCCAGAAGGTAGCAAAGTTGATTTACAGCCTTATTTTTTTAAGAGAAAATTTGAAGGTAAAATTATGTCCTGTTACATCCAGTTAGAATGTTTAGACTGTTTTGTGTTTAATAGCCCCTTGTTCTTTGCATGTGCACATGTGAGTGTATGTGTATGATTTTCATCAGAAGGAAATAGTCTGCTATCAGACGACTTGAAAATACGGTTGGTGTCTGAGCAGTTAATTCATTGATTTCTGCAGGTGGCTTTCCTGGGGGAATGCCTGGTAATTTTCCTGGAGGAATGCCTGGAATGGCAGGGGGGATGCCTGGAATGGCGGGAATGCCTGGGCTCAATGAAATTCTTAGTGATCCGGAAGTTCTTGCAGCCATGCAGGTAAGACTTGGAAGAACAAAGTTGGGCTTTGTATCACTAAGGCATTTCTTAAATTAATTCTGTGTGTAAAGACAAAGGTTATTGTGTTAGCCATGTTTTACTTATCTATTACCAAATAGGTAATTATGCAGTCAGACCATTCATTTTTCTTTTTTTTTTTTCCAAAATGAGTGGCTGAAGTTATTAAAAATTGGTTTCTAGTAGTTTGATTATATCTAGCTGTCCTTTTCTAGTTTGATTATATCCAGTTTCCTTTTCTTTTCTTTTTTTATTTATGTTCCAAGTTTTTGTTTAAATTCTAGTTAGTTAACTTACAGTGTAATATTAGTTTAGGAGTAGAATTTCATGATTCACTTGTCCTTTCTATCAAAATTGTATATGCTTTTTTCATTATCTAGTTAAAGTGACATAATTGGCATTTGACTTTGAAGTGCACATTAGTAATATTTATACTTCAGGTACTTGTCCAAACCCCAATTAACTTGGCTGTGATAAAATTGTCCGTCTAAATAAAGACCTAGGATTTCAGATACTAAACTTGTAAAACTATAGAAGTCTTTTTAAATATTACTAAAAACCCACTGCTTTTCTTCGCAGGATCCAGAAGTTATGGTGGCCTTCCAGGATGTGGCCCAGAACCCAGCGAATATGTCAAAATATCAGAGCAACCCAAAGGTTATGAATCTAATCAGTAAATTGTCAGCCAAATTTGGAGGTCAAGCATAATGCCCTTATGACAAATAAAGCCCTTGCTGAAGGAAAAGCAACTTCGATCACCTAATGGATGTCGCAATAATACAAACCAGTGTACCTCCGACCTTCTCATGAAGAAAGCTGGGGTGCTGTGAAGAGAATCCCTACCCCTCTGCTCCCCATGCAACTGAAACATTCTACAATTGTTGCCATTAGGGTATTCATTCAGATAATGTTTTCCTACTAGGAACTACAAACTTTAAACACTTTTTAAACCTTAAAAATATTTAAAAACATATTAAAAGGGTGTGTTAGTCCCTACATTTTTCTTTACTAATCATTTCAGTTTTTTTCCTTTGGATTAATTGGGCAAGGAAGATATTTCAGTGTGGAAGATTCATTGCTCAATTATAACGAGTGAAATAAAGGTTTATTAGTGGGAGGCAAATAATACATTAAAATAGATGAAGTTTGAGTTGGAGATATGGTTTCTGAGACATTTTGACTTGTCTTTTTAAATGCTTTATTTTTTAAACACAATTTATTTTGATAGAACCATTGGGACCACCAGTATTGCAGTCGGACCTGCGTAGGGACCGGAAGTGCTTGGCAGGGCAGCAGCAACCTTACTCCTTTTATATAGTGTGCACCCTTGTGCAGATGCATTTAAATCTTACACTGTGGTGAAGGGATGATTTTTATAATGCTGCAGTAGACTTGGATTACTTAGCTGTGTTCTTGTCTCATATAGAAAATAAATGTTTTGCATTATTTCCACATAGGGGAAATAAGGGAATACTTTTTTCTTTTTTTTTTTTTTTTTTTTTAATATTTCTGTGTTTAGAGTGACCTTTCCTGGTCAGAAAATACCCATCTCTTTGTGTGCTTTCTGCTTATTTTCACGTCACCCCTTCTCCCTTCCCAGTACTCTTTGGGCTAAAGATAGTCCTTTTTCACTGGCGTCATCACTATTACCATCATTCACAGCATAATTGTGCAAGTATATGTAATGCTGGGTTTAATATGTAATACATATAGTGATTATGTAAGGTAATACCCATAACAGTTGTAGTTTCTTACTTGGCCAAGCGATTGCATATTTAAATGTTAGGTTTCCGCTTCGGTGAGATCTTAACCATCTCAGAAGATGTTGGAAGGAAGGATTCTCTTTGATGTTCAGTCTTCTGAGGAAATACCTGTTGCAGTTGGAGTTTATCTGACATTATTCATTTTCGTAGTTTGGAGAGTATGAGGTTTGAATTCATTGATATACATAGAGGGGAACCAAATTTCTTGATCCAATACGAATTATAAAATTGATGAGATCCATGGTTCTTCATTGTGGGGTTAATGGCATTATGAGTCATTGTGTTCTTATTCAGCTCTGGAATACTGCACCATATCCCCCACCTCTCCTTTTTTCCTTTCCTCTCCTCCAAGGATAAAGAAATGATGGATTTTCTGTTGTACATTCAAATCTTAACATTAATTAAGACTAAGTCTAGGCACTGTACTAGGAATTGCTAGGTTTCTACCTTTCCAATTTAAAGTGCTGGTGTTCAAAAACAGTTTTCAAGGGATGAGACCCTCTGTACTTTGCTTATTTGAAGAATCAGTGGTAGGAGCAGTGAAGAAAATTCCATGGAATAATTTCTGAAATAGCACATTTCTGAAGTCATAAGTAAGTTAATTCAGGTTCTAACCCTTTGCTGTACACAAGCAAATAGAAATGCATCTGTTATATAAGTGAGAAAAGGCTGTATGCTAACTGAGCATGCTTTTTAAATCCTTTAAAAATACTCAGCATATAAACTTGCGTTTGAGCTTGTCAGTGGTTTTTTTGTTGGTAATGTGTGTTCTCTCTCGAATTTTCTAATGTGTGCTGTGAATAACCCAAGAAGACCAGTTCCTTTTGGGTTCCTTATTTGATTTACTTTTTACTTAATTATATATTACTTAAGTACATTCTAACATTGCAGATATTACCGTAAGTGGGTAAAAGTAAAATTGGTCTTCTGAAAATGTGTCCTGTGCTCTTAAGTTCCACAAATACAAAGTACATTCATTTTCATAGAAACTCAGTATCATTTCTAGACCAGAAGTGTTTTTTCTTGCGCTAACAATGGTATAAGAAGGAAAAGTAAAGGAGTTTTTTTTTTTTTCTGCTTAAAAATATATAGTTATTGGATTTCTCGCTACATTAAAAATAAAGTATGGTTTCAAACTGGATATTGACAGCCCCACATACTTTTTTCCCCCCAGCAGATAACTCTTTTCTTTTAGGTCTGTAGCACTCAACATTATTTGCTGGACATAGTAGACTTCAGTGACTTCTAAGAATATTTAGACGTTAAACAGAGATTTACTTTTCTTTCAGGTAACGGTCCCGAGGAAAGCCATTCTGCCATAGTCAGAAGGTAGCTTCCATTTCCAAGTCCAAAAGTGCTTATTACTCTCATGCTCATCATCTAGCCTGAGGAAACAGGAGAGGGCACCAGGGAAACATACTGAAATACACATAGAACATTTTATTACTTTACATACCCCATTTCTCTTCGTTTGTTTTTTTACTCAAGACCATATTTACCTTAAAGGAAAGCTAAAAAAATAATAGTACACTGCGGTATGGTCATGTGCCCAATAAAAAATTGCAAAAGGAAGACAAGACCTGGGGTAACTACTAACAGGCTGCCATTTTAGGAAATACTGGCCTAATGGGATAAGGGAGAAACAGATTTACTAATATCTAACATTAATGCATCTAACTAGCCGCTTAGGTAAGTAGTACTTAACCCTGTGCCAAGTACTCTGTAATCAGTTTGAAAGCATTGACTCCATTCTGATAATGACTGGAACGGTAAGTGCTCTTACTCCCATTTTATATATAAATGAGGAAACTGAAGCACTTAACTAAATTGCCCAGGTTAACACCCCTGATTATTTGTAGAGCTGGAATTCTCACTAGGCTTGTTCTTCAAAGATATTCCTCTTTTATGCTCTGCTACCCTCTCTGTACAAGGTTGCTTCTTGCAGAATTGTTCGTGAATTCAAGAAATTGGAGATAAAATACACTTGAAGAGGATTGATTAAGGAATATCACACATCATTGGGTGTACTGATCTGCACACTCAACAGATTTCTACTAATAGCATAATTGAAGTGCTTGGAACACTTGTGACAAGCCCAGTAATGGGGACAAGAACAAACTAGTTTTAAAAATTATGGTGCAATAATTTTAAAGTTCAGTATTTACAACATATCAAATACCTACTAAGAGTGCTTAGTTGGGGGAGGAAAATAACCTGAAGTAAACAGGCAGCAAATACTAAAATAGCCTTTAAGCTTTTGATAGAGTTTAAACTATGTCCTGTCAAATTGGGGGTTTTAAATATCTTGGCAATTAAATGCGACCTTTTGTGTAGTGCTGGTAGGAGTATAAATTCACAACTTTCCATGAAGTTGTCTCTAAGGATTTTTACATTCTTTTTTGGTGGAATCCTAACATTAAGTTACTAAGTATTAGGAAACGGTAGCAAGGAGGTAAGTAGAGCTAATGTAAAATACATGTATGAGACTGAAAATCTAGGTATCTGATAAAGAGATCTTTAAAAGACCTCTTTTAGTTCACTCTCCCCAGATCACTAGGATGTCAGGTTGCAGTGCATAGATCTGCCAGTGTAGAAGCACTGTACACGAAGTGTTAATTCTGGATAGGTTCCTTGAGCCCACTGTGTGTGTGATGGCATGGGTGTAAAAGAACACGCATAATTTTTTTATATACTATTTGTGTAGTGGGGGACTTGATGCCTCTGTAACTCAGGGAGCCCTCTTCAAGGAAGATGTGTAATTATGAATACTATGATATAAAAGTAAATGGTTAGAACAAAGGAAGCAAAAACTGCAATTAAAAAAAATTGGAAATCTCTCAAAATCACAACTATAGAGGTAGTTTTTTAAAATTTTTGTTTTGGGACGCCTGGATGGCTCAGTGGGTTAATAAGGGTCTGCCTTTGGCTCAGGTCATTACTCAAGGGTCCTGGAGTCAAGTCTCTCATCAATCTCCTGGCTCAGCGGAGAGTCTCCTGCCTCTGCCACTCCCCCTGCTTGTATGCTCTGGCTCTGATAGATAAAATCTTTAAAAAAAATTATTTTAAATATTTCATTTGCCAGAGTGCACAATCGGGGACTGGCAGGCCAAGGGAGAAACAGGCTCCCTGCCAAGCAAGGAGCTTGATGCGGTACTCAATCCCAGGACCCCAGAATCATGACCTGAGCAGAAGGCAGATGCTTTAACTGACTGAGCGACAGCTATCCCTATAGAGATAATTTTAATATATGGTATACAGGTTTTTTGTTTTTTTTTAAGGGAGAAGGTATGTAAGAAGGGTGAGAGTGTGTGTGGAGCTAAGGTGGGAGGCAGGGAGAGAGAATCTTAAGCAGGCTCCACGCTCAGCACAGAGCCAGATGTGGGGCTCAGTCTCATGACTGAGCTCATGAACTGATCCAAAATCAAGAGCCTGATATTTAACATACTGAGCCACCCTGGTCCCTCTGTTACATTTTTTGCTGTGTGCTCATGATTTGTAGTGTTTTCAGTAGAAAATGTTACCTTGATCAAAATACTTGTGATTGCTGCGATGCAGAAGAATACATGGGTATGTTACCTGCTCTGGTTTTGTGCCCTACAAGTGGGAATTGTGATCAGTTCTGTTACACTCAATTAATAATACATAAAATATATGAAGAATATATAAATACATAATTACATATAAATATATAAAATTAATAATCATAAATTATGCTACGTAGCCCAGTATATTCTTTACAGGAGAGTGCTTCCAAGTTGAGTCAGTGAGAACTGAATCTTCTGGGGCACCTGGGTGGCTCAGTCAGGTAAGTCTCTGACTTCAACTCAGGTTATATCTTAGGGTCTTGGGATGAGTCCCACTGAATGGGGAGTCTGCTTGTCCTTCCTCTCCCCCTGCTCGTATTCTCAAAATCTTATAAAAAGAAACAAAAACGGGGGGCATCTGGGTGCCTAATTGGTTAAGCGTGTGCCTTTGGC